TGATTATATTTCATGTTTAGTAATTCATTTATGAATCTCTATTCATTCCGCCTTGGTCAAGGACTTGGAATTACTAACTATGAAATACATAGGAAATTCACTTATCTTCATAAGTGTCGAATTCTTTGTTGGCCACTAACAAACTTCCATACATATTAACATAATACCCAAAATATCCCTTTATACGATTGTGCTAGCAACCAAAAGGATAAATCAAAGTAGAATGTAATATGCACAAAGTTATCATTATGCCTCAAGTCTAAGGATCAATCATGTACTATTGTAACATGAAAATTCTTATTCGACATGATAAACATTCATTAAGAATTTTCATACTGTCATGTTCAGTGAACTTGTTCTCTAACAAGCACCCACATATATGTACTTGCGTCCCACGCTAATGTTGATGGAATGCAACATTCTTGTCCAAACAAGCATACATACTGTGCAATTCTTTTATGGATTATTCGATATCCCATCTCGAAACATCCATCGAATTGGAACTTTATTTAAGATCACGGCTTTCAAGATATGTTCCATGATTACCATCTCTATGCGCAACCATATCTTATAACCATAAGTGATCTAGGAATTTTATCTTAAGTGCAATTATAGGATAAATGCTTACTCTTAAGATAAAGAAATGCCTTATTAACAATATAATTCCAATAGATCGTATTTACAAGTAGAATACGCCCAATCAAATTGGAACGCCGGGTATACTACTCTAACACCTTCTTCATTCTAGACACTAACACCTTCGTGAACAGCTTGTAAGCCACGTTAAGAAGGCTAATCGGACGAAACTGCTGTATCGTAGTCGGGGATACCACCTTGGGAATAAGGACAAGCAAGGAGCTATTTAATTCCGGCAGTAGCGGCTCCCCCTCCCATAGACGTCGATAGAGGTCACACACGGACTCCCCGATAGTTGCCCAGTTCTTTTGGAAGAAGAGTGCGTTCAGCCCATCACTTCCTGGTGCCTTGAGAGGAGCCATGAGCTTCAACGCAGCCACCACTTCGCTCTCACCTATATCCCGAGCCATGTGTTCGAATCTTGCCGGTCCCAGGGAGGGGAAATAATTTTGAACCACACGGGCAGGTAACGGTGCTAGGTCCGCCGAGAAAATAGACTGGAAATACGAGACAGCCATTCGCCGTAGGCTCACTAGGTCGTCCACCACGTTCCCATCAACATCCAAGAGTGAAGTAACACGATTACGGGCTCTACGGACGCGTACCTGGCGGTGGTAAAAAGCTGTGTTTCTATCCCCAAACAAGGCCCAATCTCTGGTGGACTTCTGAATGAGTAAAATCTCCTCCTGCAACAGCACCTCATCTAACTCACGGCGCAAAGATTTTTCCAAAGAGACCAGACTCTCCTTAAAGTAGTAGCGGTAGGACTTTTGAATGCCCGAAATCCTAGCTAGCAGCTTCTTCTTCCGTTGGAAAATGTTACCGAAAGTGTCATAATTCCACTGTTTGGCCCTCATGGAAAAATGAGAGGCAGCCTCGACAAAATTAACCCCGGGCCACCATACCTCCTCAAGAAGTCGAGGAAAGTCACTATGAAGTAGCCAAGCAGCCACAAACCGGAATGGTTTGCTACCTCCCATGTCACGCGGCCGGTGACCAAAGCTAAGCTGGATGGGCGAGTGGTCCGACTGAACACGTGGTAAATATAGCATTCGCCCCTCTGAGAATGTGTCTATCCATGCCGTATTGACAATGAACCTGTCTAGCTTTTCCGACACAGCTCCCCTCGTCCAAGTAAACCTATTGTCAAGTGCATTAATCTCGCATAAATGATTATTAAGGATCCAGTCCTGAAATTCCCCGCTAATATTGCACTTGTCGAGCGACCCCCCGATTTTCTCCGACCGCCGCAAGAGACAATTAAAGTCTCCTCCAACAGCCCACGGCCCCCGAGTCTGATTCGCCAGCCTATCCAAATCAATCCACAACCGATGGCGCAAAACCGGATTCGGCGAAGCGTAAACAAAGGTGGTAATGCAAGACTCCTGTCCCTTGGACACCCGGGCATGGATAAACTGACGGCCACAACTCATAATACTCACTTCGACTCCCTCCGGCCAAAGCAGCCAAATGCCCCCAGAAAAACCCCTCGCCTCCACACGAAAAGAGTAGTCGAAACGACTTCTTCTAATGAACTCATCAGCGCCGGCCTTACTAATACGTGGCTCTAACAATGCAACCACATCCGGTTTATGATGTTGAATAAGGGTGAGGAAGGCAAGCCTGAAGGATTCAGAAGCCGCCCCCTGGACATTCCACACTATCATCTTCATAAGGAAACTACACATGCGAAAGGTGGGAGACACCCTTAGACCCGGTCCTGGCCCTCAGTGGCCATGAAATTCATATCTTCATCATCGAATCCCGACGGAGGCACCAACCCCTTTCTCAGCAGGTCGTTTTCCTCAGGCCATGGGCGCGGACGTCCGGTGGGGGTAAACACATTGTCCTCCAACATATCATCGAGCTCCACCTCTGAACCGTCGACCAGCTCTTGGTTGAACTCCATAGGATGATCATCAACGATCAGTACCGCTCGATGCCTGCTAGTATCCAATCCAGATCCAACCGAGACGCTTGATGGAACTGAGGTTGATGTTCGCTGCCCCCGATCCTCAATCCCGCTCTTAGAAGATTCACACCGATCAACCACAGCCCCCCGATCGCCGTTTCCACTGCCTCCGGTAACCCCCTTACCCTTATCCACAGAAAGCACCTTGAACGCCCCAGCAGACCTATTCCGAGTTTCGGTCTGTGTATGACTCATTGCGATATTCTTACTCTTAGATCCCCCTACACGACGCCATTCCTTCGGCTCCCATGCAGACGTGGTGCCCTTCGATTGTTTGTCAACCTTGGTCCCTCCAGCCCCAAAGATGAAATCATTGCCATTGGTAACGTCCTCGGCCGAGGACAGCGAGTCAAAACGGTTGCCATGGCGAGACGGAATTGAGGCCCCATTCATAGTTGTGTGTTCCCGACGGCTCATTGGCTTCCTGGCCCTCTGAGGTACTTGCATCCACGGCCCGTATAAAGCTCCCACCCCCTCAGTCACCTTCGAACCACTTGACTCTCCTTCTTGGCCTCCGTCGACATGTGAGGGCATAGCTAAGTGCGCGGAGCCCTCGACATTAGGGGACCCGTCCTTGGGATCTTTCTTTTCCAAACATGAGGAAGCTTCGTGGCCGTACTTACCGCAATGGAAACAGATACGTGGCATATTTTCGTATTCCACACGTTGCATCTTACCACCGATCGTGAAGTGCCCACACAACGGCTTGGCCAGGTCCACCAACACGGCAAGTCGTGCGTATTTGCCCCTCGTAAGGGATGTTGTCTGGTAATCAATCTTGACCACTTGTCCCACGATTTTCCCAATTTGTCGAAACACCCATTTATGGTATAGGTGTACCGGCATCCCCGGAAGCCGAATCCAAGCCACCACCTTATCTAGTTGCACTTTATTCTCATCAAACTCCAGTGACCATGGTTGCACATGAAGGTATCCACTACCCACCACGTAAGGTCCTCCAACCAGGGTACGCACCGCATCGTCATGACTTCGAAAGTGGACCAGGTAAAAACCGTTCTCCAAGTCCATCATCTTGCACCCCACCATGTGGGGCCACATTTTTGTCAATCGATTATACAGGACCGCGTGGGAGAGAGAATTATCCATGGGTTTAACCACAACGACATCCTTCCAATCCTTAGCTAAGAGGTCGTAAAATCTCAGAGTAATGCGTACATCAGGCACCGAGTGCGAGAAGTCTACCGAAATGTCCTCATCAATCCCTGCCTTCTCCTCCGGCTCAGGTTCAACGATCTCGTGTGGTCCGGTTTTGCTCACCATATCCCGAAAGCTCAAGGGCTTAGGGCTAGCCACCGGCTGTTGTTGCCCTAGGTTTGGAGTAGGCGACGTTGTTTTCCCCCCGGGGGTCTCCTTCTCACCCCCCAAAAGCCCAGAATCTAGTGGGCGCCGACGTTTAGAATAACGACCGTTAACCAGCGGTGGGATCGTAGCTTTAGTCAGAGCCGGAAAATCCATGTCGGATCTCGGGAATTGGTTAGCCGTCAGCGTAGCGCCATCAAGATTCACAGAAGTAGCCAAGTGCGAGTCAATTTGTGGGACAAGGATTTTTCCACCGTGAGGGCCACTGGGATTGACGGGCAGTGCCGCCGCGTCGGCGCCGCCGTCCGGGTTCTGAGCAGGATTCAAATTTTCGTCACTCATGATCGCTTTTTTTTATTCGTCGCGACTTTTTCCTTAGATCTTTTAACACTATTTGTGATCATCTTGTGCACATACATGTAAATAAAAGAACTAAATTTATCGAATTGCATTTATGATTGGTTTCCGGTCGACACAGATCAGACGGTCCATTTATAAGTACCAAATTAAACCTTACAGATCTATAGAAAGCCCATTAAGCGGCCCGTTAGGTCACGACAAGATTTTCAAATCATATTCCTTCTCTTTCTCAACTCCATAAAACGGGACCTTGTAAAACCACCAACAGCAAGTATACACACAGAGAAGACAAAGATAAAAACCAGAAAACAAACTTTCCGTAACAAGTCACCACAACCGAGAATGGCCGCACCCACGTTCCCCCTGAGCCGCCTCATGTTCTCCGGCCTTCGAAGCTCCACCCCTCTCCGCCCGGCAGCTCCGCCGGCGAGCTTCCGTACTTTCTCCGGTAAGTTCTTTCTTCAGATCCAGATTTGTGAATTCAATTTCCCCCTTCTTAACCTTTCTCGATTTGTCTTTAGATCGACGATTGCGTGAATCTCGTATTTTCTACCCAAGGAAATGAGCTTGACAAGCTTTCTCGTAGCCATCTAAGCCTTGAAATGATTTTTTTTTTCTCATACTTAAAATTTCCATTTAAGGTACGTCTGGCCGGAATACGGCGGGATTCCCCCCTTCCGGCGAGCAACTAGGCTTCAGCTCGCACGAATGTAGTCATGGCAGGTTCAAATGGGAAATGACTGCTGAAGGCTTGCATCTCGGGCTGGGGGTAGGGGCAATGTCCCATGATCAAGTTAGTGTGAAGATGAAGGGATCGGAGCTCACTGTCCAGGGCAAAATGGAGGGGAATATTCCAGGCGGCAGCATGGCGGTAATCCTGAGGTACACGGCGGATCTGCCCATGGATCACATCAAGCCCGACGAGATCACGTCCAAGCTGGATGGCGGTGTTCTGAACGTGTTCATTCCGAGGAAGAAAACCGATGGTGAGGAGTCGGAGGGTACCTCCTGATCTGTAATTTGACTGAGATATCTGAGCATGTTAGGAAGAAGATGGTGCCATTGTGCTAGCTGGGGTGTTGAATGAAAAATCATGTCTGCTTAATTAATAATAATTAATTACTGGTATTAATGTGATAATTGTTCATTTTTGTCTTTTATGTGATTTTTTTATTTGGTAACAAAAATATTTTTATGATAAAATAGCGTTGGAAAATTGAACCAAAATTTTTGGATTAATTTAATTAATTTTCATAACTACATAATGTTATCAGATTAAATTCAAATACTTTGAAAAGTGCAAATACAGCTATAGTACTGTTTTTTTGGGTGTGCAACAAGCAACATTAACATAGCACCAGAGTGAAACAACTTTTGTATGTATAGTATATATATATATATATATATAGGGGGAGGATCCAATGAGTCCACATCTTAAAATGTGAACATAAGACTAATTCTCAGCCTTTGGATCTGACTTTTAGATCTACGGTCAGCATCAAAATCAACGATTCCCACGCGCACCAAAACAGAAAAAATATCTCAAATTTCCTTCTCACTCACGATTCTCTGCGGTTTCCTTCTCAATCTCGATTTCCTTCTCAGTTAGAATTTCGATTTCATCATCTGATTAGGTTAAACCCTCGTTTTTATTGATCCGATAAACATACCCAACTGCATATCAAAATATCAAGAGGAAAAAGTCAATCAAAATCATCACATTCATAAGGTTCATGAGATTTGTCTGCAAATGTCGGCAGAAGCAGCTTCAATGGAGATCGGAGCAACTCCAGTTGCGACATTGATGGAAGAAGGTGTACCGATTTTATTTTTTTC